TGTCAGGAATTCAAAACTAAAAAGTCTGTATATCTAGTTATTATGTTACATTGTTACTTAATTTTAAATTGTAAAAATCAAAGTTCCAAATAATGAAAACAGAAAAATGTTAAGGTTCATTTCACCAATTTATGGAGTGTGTGAACTGGGTTCAATTGTTCTAGTTAAGTTAATGCTTTCTATAGCTTTGGCATATAGTTTTGTACATCGGGTACTTTTGATTTCAAGAGAAAATATTTCCACAACAAACTTTTCTCTCGCTTTCTCTTTTCCGGTCTCTACTTCGTAATATGATATCAGAGCCATCAAACGCATTTTCTTTTTGATTTCATCTATTTCTAAACTCAAATTCGTAATACAGTTTGTTGATTTATGGTAATGTTATGTATTTTTTTCTTCATTGAAGACATATGTAAGAGAATTAGCTCACACTATATAAATTTGGCGAGGAACCTAATTTTTTATTCGACAAAAGAACCATCCCCAAGTTCCATAGCTTTGAGTCCGCTATATCGAATATGAATTTCGATGCTATAATCTTGTAAAGATCGACGACGTAGTGTATTGTTGAGATTTTTGAAAAGTGTAAAATTTCTTCTCTTTCATGGTGAAAGATGACCGGACAATGGTTTTATTTTGAATTCATTGGTAGTTATGCGTCACAATGACTGGGACCGAACTCACTTTTTTTTTTTTGAAATTTGACCGAAATCACCTTAGTATGTATGTCACTTACTTTTCTGAATTATGTTCGAATTTTACATCCATAATAAATTAAGAGCAAAAAATGTTAATCATAAAAAAGCTCAAATTTACACAAAACAAACGAACGTAAACGGATTGTATGAAAGAAGATAATGAAGTTCCAAATTAAGAGAAAAAATATCATAAATAATAAAATAAATAACATGCATGCAGATAAATTATCATGAAAATTCATAAATGATGGAAACTAAAACAAGTTAAATTTTAAAATTGGATTTTACGAAAAATACAATATTTTAAGCGATATAAATTAAGTTTAAGATTATCAAATCTAAAGAAAGGAATGAATAAGAATAAGATACTTAATTTTTTTATTGATAACATCATATTCACAATAATTGATCAATTTAATCAACTCGGGTATGCAACACTCTGAGATCTACGGTATCGTTCAAGACATCCATTACCTCTCATCAAATCTAGCATAAATATATTTTCTTTATGTCAATCGATCGAAAAATGCAGAGGCTAAATCATGTATCGGTTGGAGCCGGCTAACTCCGGTTTAATGAAATACAATGGTTTGATCCAAAAAAAAAAACACCCACTCCCACCCCAAAAAAAGTTTGTAGAGTTATTATATACATGGGAGGGGCCGAGAGAGGAAGAGAGTGTGGCATGTGTCCACACTCCACACTATTTTTTTTTTCCATAAGTAATTAAAGAAAAAATTATTTAAATGTCTATAATCTCAATATTGTTTTTTTAATAAAAGCATAATCTAAATATTAGTTATGGTAAACTACATCTATGTGCCCTACACTAAATAGAATTTTAGATCCCCCCTGGTTATATACTATAAACATAATTGAGAACAAGTAACAAGGATAAAAAAATTGAATGATATATTATGACACCGTAAGAGTTGATGTTGTATTATTTAAATGTCTATAATCTAAATATTAGTTATGTTTTTTTTTGAAACTTAATATTAGTTATGTTAAACCAAATCTATGTGTTAATTTCCTTTTCTTTAAAAAAAAAAACTACATCTATGTGCCCTACACTAAATAAATTTTTTTAGATCCACCCCTGGTTATATACTATAAATATAATTGAGAAAAAGGTAACAAGGATAGAAAAAAAAAATTGAATGATATTATGAACTCGTAAGTCGTAAGAGAGAGACACTCAAAGAGTTGATATTGTATTATTTTTGACGTGGAGATTCAACATAATGTTCAATATGTTTCTGTGTTTTTGGGGCATTAAACTTGCGTCTCCGTACGAGCTGCAGCGAAAGTCTGTGTCTATGTAATAAAAACACTAAAGATCTAGAAGCAGCTACACTTCGCCAAAAGATCTACCCTCGACATGCATATCCCATTCTTTCCATTTTTTTTTTTGGTCACAATCCCATTCATTCTTTTTTTTTTTTCATCTGAATATTGCATTATATATATCATGGGCTAATTACAATAAGTACACCCCCAAAAATGGCCGAAGCCCAGTTAACTAAGGTAAAAAGCCCAGTTATGAGATATAACAAAACAGAACAACATTAGAACGTTCCTAGTGAACCCAAAACAGAGCATCATAACACAATCACTAGCCGATCCCACCTAAGCATGGAGTAAGGTTAAAGATCTCCTTTCAACCT